CATCAGCCTTATATTGGGCTACTAGCTCGTTGGCATCAGCTTTGGTCACTGCAACCACCGACTTAGCCGCTTCGAGCTCCTTGGCAAGAGTTTATCGATCGGAGACGGCCAAGCTTAGCTGAGACTAGAGCTCCTCAATTTTTTGTGCTAGCGCCTCGACCTTTTCCTTTGTTGCCCGAAGCTGGACCTCTGCCGAGGTCAACTGTGCCCGAGCAGTCTCCTTTTTTCGAGGCCATGCGATCCATCCTTCCTCTCCATTCTTCGGCCTCGGCCTTCACTGCATCCATCTCGGCTCGTAGTTGGTCGATCCGATCGATCTTCTGTTGGACCTGTGGATTCTGACCAATAGTCACCGTGTCTATCTCATCGTCACTAACTTCAAATATTTTTACCTATTCAACCAGATCGGCATGCTCCTTCCGAACCACCTCCAACTCAGCTCGGAGGCTCTTAGCCTCTCCTTCACGTTGTTCACTAAGGAGTTTGTAAGTATCTCTCTTCTTAGTGAGCCCTCAGACTTCGGCTTCAAGCTGGTTCAATTCATCCCGATACCGAAGAAAAGTTTCATGGTGAAGCACCGAGGCCTACAAATACAAAGAAAAATGTTAGTGTTATCTATGAATTAGTCTAAGTACAAATTGAAGTTATCAAGAGATATCTGAAGTTACCCAGTTTAGCACCTATTGTGCTTCGTTGAACAAGCAGGTCGTGTCTACCTCAATCATCTTAGCTTGGTCTTTTTCGGTTACCAGACACCAAAGGTAACTGCCCACCCCTACGGGAGTGAAGATGACTCGGGCATCCTCCGGAATGGAGATGATGATAGATCGCTTCCGGTCAGGATCCACACTCGGAGCTAGGAACCGATTCATTAGTTTCGGGCTCGAGAAAGGCCCGTTTGCTCCCGAAGATGGACACTTCTTCAGTACCTCTAAGTCACCCAATCCGGTGACGTCCTCCGTGGCGGTGGAATCCACGCCATCGAAAAAGCCGCGGAAGGGTTCGTCCGACCCATGGGCCCCCTCGTTAGGACGTATTTTTCACCGTTTGGGCCTCGTTATACATGGAATCAGTGAACGAGGGTGATTCAGTGATGTCTATCACACCGAGTACTTCCTTAAAGACACTGCCCGCTTCCCGGGAAGCCTCGGCCCTGGCCTCCTCATCGACCTCCTTAACGTGAGGCACATCGGTCTCGAGGTTCTCTGGTTTGGAGGCCCCTTGCCCTTCGAGCTGGCAAGGCACGCGAGCCACCAAGACAAAAGTTTCTTCTTCTTCTTTAGATTCATCTCTCCGCCGGAAGAGCGAATCCGAAGTCGGTGCTCGAGCACTGGTGCTTTTTTTGGATTTGCGCATCAACCTTCTCCTCGTTTTCTTTTTCTCCGAGCTCAGAGAACTTGGAGCCCCCTTCCTTTTCTTCTCTTCAGCCTATCTCGGAGTAGGGGACTCGGTAGGGAAGTTCTCGCCATCGGATGGAGGCCTCAGTTCTACATCCTTGGATAAACCTGCAAAAAGAAGTAAGGGGAGTAAGGACTTAACTAGGAATCCGAATATTACATACTCAGGGAAGGAGTCTCACCATGGGAACAGGACTCCCAACGGCCTTTCGAGAGCTTGCGCCACGATCGCTCGGAGTATGGCATTTGTGATACGATACCCTCGACCCACTTCTTGAGTCGAGGGACAGCATCTGGGACCCGAGCGGCGGCTGCGACACCCCAAAGAACCGATAAAGAAGAAGGAAAAAAAGCATAAAATCGACTTTCGAAAGTAAAAGTGTACTTACGTGATATATTCCACTTCTCAGGGAACGGCATACGCTCAGTCGAAATCAAGTCCGAAGTCCTCACTCGGAAAAAATGGCCTTGCCAGCCCCGATCCCGATCTTCATCAATACTCGAGAACGAGGCTTTACTGGCCCGACGCACAAGCTTTATCAGTCCCTCCCCCCCTCCTCTCCCAGAAGATTCGGGGACTGTATAAGAGGATAAGATAGTCGATGGTGAACAAACAGCCATCGATCTTACTCACAAAGAACCGGAGGAGGATCGCAATCCTCCAGAGTGAAGGATGAATCTGATTGAGGCATACCTCGTATCTCTTACAGAAATCGATGATGACTGGGTCCACTGGGCCTAGTGTAAAGGGATAAGTGTAAACACTCAAGTATCCCTCGACATGGGTGATAATAGCTTCATCAGGATCGGGAACCACTATGTCCTTATTGGCCCAATTGTAGTCCTTTCAGACCACGGGGAGGACATCTTCAGTGATCGAGCAAATGTACCTCGAGACCTCCTCACACCGGCCTTGTACGGAGGAAAGTTTTTAACCTTAAAATCAATATTGACCGGGCATCCCCCAGGGATGAACATTTTCAAAGGGGGTTCCGGTACTGGTTCATCAACGGCAGTGCGTGAAACATTCTCCTCGGTCTCAGTAGCCAGCCGCGAAGTAGAAAGGTTTCTTTTTGAGGAACGATTTTAGAAGTCTTTGCCATTTCTTTAAAAATGAAGGGAAAATGGAGAAAGAAAGGAAATTGAAGGATTGTACTTGTTGGCTTAAGATGAAGATGGACAAGATTTCTTGCAAAGGATCTCAAATAACCGGAGTAAGAGTGCTAGAAAATATTGAAATCTTAAAGGTACGAGGGTAGAAGGTTTGGATGTAAAGTTAAAATGGACAAAGGAAGAGGTATTTATAGTATTTCAGCGACGGTTCGCATTCAGGAATGGCCGAACGGCGACTGGCATGCATTTAATGCCATTAAGACTTGATTGACGAGACGTTTTGGTTGTTTTGTCATTTATGTCACGGGGTATCGAAGTAAGGATCGGAATCTCATGTCGTTTCTCATCGTCTACTCTCCGAAAAACAAGAGGACTATCTGTATACGGTCGAAATCGAACTCGTGGTGCATCCTAGCCTCCGACATGGTAAGCCAAGCTCGAGGCATGACAATAAAGAATCGAAAATCGACCCGTAATCCCACCGGACTGGAACCTGCGGGCAGGACGCCTGCCTTCGAGAATATAGAGGCCATGATCCCGGAATCGGTCCTAGCCTCGAACGACTTCGAAGAAACATTGTCAGCATAACCAACAGAAGACCGAAATATCCGTGACCGGCCGGATGTTACAGCGGGGATCTCGACACGTATCAATAAAGAACCCGCAATCAGTAAATCAAAAGATTTTTTACCTTTTATAGAATTGTGCCTAAAGTAGGATTCTTTTGCTATATAAAGCGGGTCTCATAACTCATAAAGGATATTGTAACACACACTCAAAAGCAATACATTATTATTTTCTCTGTCTTTAAGCTCTTGTTCTTCTGTATCTTGATATCGATCGTGGTAAATCCGGCTCGAGGGTGATTGTTCCTTCAAGGCTGAAATTATCCAATTCGTGTGGTTTGAATTTATTTAGTCATTATTTATTCAATTGCAACTTAATTTATCGCTTTGTGTCAAGTTAATCCGCGTATCCTTAAAATCACTTACAAATTTAATTGTTATCCGATTTTGAGGGTAAACAATTATATATAGTTTATATGTATCTTTACAAATTAGAGTACTAGAGGAAACATGTTCCACGGAAATATTACAGTGATCCATAGTTTGATCAATTTATGAACTATCCATAGTTTGAGTCTTATCAACCACATTTATGTGCTTTTGTTTCTCACAATCTCGAACTATTTTGAAATAGTTATTAATTTGTGAAGATAACGGATAAAGAAAGAGCACTCATAATTCAAATTATTGATATTGTAGTTTAATATTTAAATTATGGTCAATAATATACTTTTGTGCCATTGATGATTTGTTGACTCCGGTAATTATAAGTTGTGAGAAAGTCCTGACGATTCACGAAAAGTTTTCAGCAAGAATCCTGAAGGATCACGGAAATTCTCCAGCATTGTGGCTGGATTCCTGGTGCTTCAAAATTCTCGCTTTCGAAAATTCTAACTGCCGTGCTTCAAAATTCTGATTGGAGGCTGTTTTTTTACAATTTTTCTTAACTGGATCAAAATTTTAAACAAAGGTCAAGTTTAGGTTGTTGAGTCTAGCCCAAATTATCATGGATTCCATTTGAGAAGCAGTGCCATAATGGTGGATTTAGCTCTAACGAAAAGGGATTTCCGTCATAATAACTAGGGGTAAACGTGGGCTGCGGCATGAAGTTTGAGAATAACAAAAGACCAATCATGGTCCAAGTATTACAAATCTAGCTCTACTCCGGACTGGGCTCAGGCAGCAAATGGGGTGATTTGCACAAATAGGACACTTTCGTGTCACTCTTAGTTATTTTACCCTTATTCCATGGGCACTTCAGTTTAACAATTGTTATTCATCGCTTGTCAATATTTTTTAATTTTTTTACCTTAAAAGTTTGCCGATGAGACAAGCAGGGATCAAAAAATCAAGACTATACATTTTCAAGGTCATTGGGTATAATTTCCTAGACTGGGCGCAGGCAACAAATGGCTTTCCGAAAGCCTTATACAACATATTTGTCTTTAAATTTTAGAAACTATAATAATAAAGTGCGCGCTTTCATCAAAATTTTATTCACTTTTTTCCCAAGATCTTAATTTATAGTTTTTTAAAAAAATAAAGTGAAAATAAGCTTAGTAAAGATAATAAACTAAACAGGTAAATCACTAGAAGCCCACACTAAAACCCAGTGAACGGGTATAAAGAAGTCAAAAATTAGTATTTTGATCCAGAAAACCTTTTCTTATTATGGTTTTTAAACCTCAAGCCGACAATGCATTAGTACAATAGTACATTTAGTAAATATTAAGATACAACTGCTGTATATTATCGAAACAACGTATCGAAGCAATTGCAGCGAAGAATTGATCTGAACTAAGAGTGAAGCTAATTCGTAACATCATCTGTCCAAGAATGAGGTTAAAGCACATTGATTTTGGCAAAATCTCAAGAAACATCATTGAGCTAATAACACACAAAAATTCCATAGAAAATTTCTTCATTAGTGGGACTCTACTTCATCAACATCATGATCAGAGGTTCTAATTTCAGCAGCATTTGCCAACCAACCATCAAGGTACTGCTGATACAGATATGATACAAAACCCCATAAGCCTAAAACCAACGAAACTAACTTCAAACCGCTCACACTATCATGCAAAAGTACAACAGCTGATATTTGAGTAAGAGGAGACCCTAGAATTAAAATCACATTGCTGAACAAGGAAGATACCTTGAAAATCAATCCAATAGAACCTAGAGTTTGTGCTTGAGAAAATATAGTTCCTAAACCCAAGTACACAACATATGACACTTTCCCTAATTTATACTCTTCCATTTCTTTCTCCAAATTCCTCCAATCCCCACTAGCAAAAAGCCCTGTTAAACCAACAAGTGTTGCAATAAAGCATTGACAAATTGTCATTTGCATAACAACTTTAAAAGATCCCTTCTTTAATATTTTCTGAAATGTTAATTCTGTTAAAGAACCAAGCAAACCAAAGCCAGCAGCTCTAACAATTGTAGCCAAAAAACCTATCAAAAATCCAGGTAAAGAGATTTCTTTTTCGTCAGTTGACGACTCATTTTGGAAAATAATGAGCACAGAGGATAAAGTAAGAAGCACGACAGAATTAAGTATAGGTGGTGTAATTTTTTGCCCATTGAAGAGGAAAGAAAGATGGCGTTGAACGCTAACTGAGTAGAAGAAATTAAGGAATAAGTAGAAGCTGGAAGGTATTGTAAACCAACCGAATATAGCAAGCTGTTTGCTGCTAGAAGTAAACCAAGAAAGGCACAAACTAATGCAGAAACCAAATTATAACTAGAAGAAGGCTGCTCTATATTGTTAACTTCTTGTGGTTCTTTCTTATTAATATCTGTGTTGGAATAAAAGCAAAGGAGAGGGACAAGTACAGGGAAACCAGCAAAAGGTACAAGTGTAGCTATCCATTTGCTCTTACCACCGTAGTCGTAGTAAACTTTACCCAATAGTGTTACAACTATTTGGCCCGAGAGGACCAAGAATATAAAGATGGATATTTGGAGCCATAATTTGAGCTTATAACTTGAGTCAGGAAATGTGTCTGTGTTTTCACATATTGGCTCTATATCTTCTGCTTCCTCACCTGGTTGATTAAATCATAAATTTTGAAATAGTAAGATACTTTTGGAAACTAGAAAATGACTGAAAAAGAAGAAGAAAAAGTAGAGGAATTAATTTACTAGTAAAATGCAGCAGATTTTGGTGAGCTGATCCTTCCATGGAAAGCAACTTGCACTTAATTTTCTAACTAAAGATGTTATAAAGTATATGTTGTTTCTTATTTTATTTCTTGGAGCTTAATCGGGCTTCAAATAACTGGGAAGAAAATTCCAAAGCTTAGGATTGTCAAACAAATTGATAAGATTATTTATTGGAATTTATTACTACCTTAAAATTTGCTCAATGTACTAACTACTATCTACAAAAGCAAGCAATGCATTCTATTTAGGGGGTTCCACCAAAAACTGTCGGCACTAGATATTTTTCATGCTTTAATTAGATCATCTAGAAAAAGAAAATGACCACCATCAACTCGCCTCAAAAGATACTCGAAGGGGTCGTTTGATCAATGGGCTAAAATAATAATCCCGAAATAAAATTTGGGATTAACTTTATTCCATATTTGATTTGAAATATTAGCTAATTGTGGGATAACTTTTATACTAAAATAGTGGGATTAGTTATCCCATATAGAAAGTGGGATAGCTAATCCCATGAAATATCCCGCCCAATGGGATATCCTGGAAAATCTCATCCTTGTGCCAAACGACCCCTAAGTATTAAAATTATATTTAAGATAATTTAAAAGTAGATGCTAAGGAGAAAAACATAGCTGAAGAATTTGAGAAACTTATCCGAGCGAGCTCATAATATACTAGGAATTTAGGATCAGCCTCCAACTACGTAAGAAATGGCAATTATAACGAAGAAACAACTCCTACAAGTGACATTTTTTTCAATTTTCTATTTGTCGTTTGGTTATGAACTTATGATTGGCATTTCTTAAATTGTTGGAGACTGATCCTAATATTTTATGAACTTGAATAGGTTTCTCAAATTGTTGAGCTATCTTGTAATCTGCCTTATCATCATGCTTTTGTTTTGATAAATAGGAAGATCAATATTGCCAGAGGCATATCCAATACATAAATCAGCAAACCAGACAAGTAAAACAGCACATACCCTTAAACTAATGGCAATTTTCTTGAAGTTTTGAGTTTTCACATGGTATAAAAACAAAGATGAAGCATCCGTTTGTCTGATACTTTCAATAGACATGACGACAGACATATACTGATATACAGATTAAAAAATAGATGAAGCATATGACTTTTGATACTTTTGTTTGATGAATATGATCATTAATATATTGCCAGAAGCAAATTCAATATACAAACAGCAGTGCACGTGCAACCATTGTCTGGGAACAAGTTATATATGAACAGTTAATTAGTGAGTAAATCTTCTCTATTATAGCTTAGAGCTGTACCTTTCCATTCATCAGAAAGAATACACAATATACATACAGTAATATTTATTTAGAAACAGCTAATTCCAACAGTTGTTAGCAATATTACACATTGAACTAACATAGAGATCTTCAAATGTACAAGATTAAACTAGCATCCTAAATAATAAGCTAGAGGCAGAGATTTAAGTTCCTTGAATAAGGGAGGCCTCGAAATCATCATCCTCAACTGAGGATTTAGTTTCACCTGCTTTTGCCTCTAAATCATCAAGATAGTGTTGATAGATATATGATGCATATCCCCATAATCCCAATAATAGCGAAAACACCTTCAATCCAGTCATTCTATCTTTCAAGAATACCATAGCGAAAATTGGCACAACTGAAGATCCTAAATTGATGATCACATTAGAGAACAAAGAAGAAGCCTTGAAAACCAATCCAATTGAACCAACAGCATACATCTGCCAAGAAATGGCCGTAAAAACCAAGTTCATAACATATGACAATTTCCCTGATCTGTACTCTCCCATTTCCTTCCCCAAATCCTTCCAATTGCCACTGGCAATAAGCCCAGCTGTAGAAGTGAGTGTTACGAAAAGACCGATAAAAAACGACATTTTCATGACGACTTTTAATGTGCCACTCTTGAAAACCTTTTGAAACGCAAGTTCTGTTAGAGAGAACTGCAACGCGTAACCAAGAGACCCTATAGTGGTTGCTGCAAAACCTATTAAGAGAGATGCCTGAGATATTTCTCCGCTGACACTCGCCTCGTTTTGGAAAATAATGACCGAGGATGAAAAAGAGAGAAGCACGACAGAGTTCAATATTATTGGCGTGATCTTTTGACCGTTGAGGAGGAATGAGGTGAGTGCATTAAACGCCAATTGAGAACCGGAAATTAGGGAATAAGTAGAGGCAGGAAGGTACTGCACCCCAACAGTATATAACATAGAGTTTGCTACTTGAAATAAACCAAGGAAGATATAAACCGACGCACGAACAAATATGGAAGGCTGCTGAACGATAAGTTGTTGTTCATTGTGATTTTCGGTTGAAGGATAGCAAATGATAGGTAGAAGAATAGGGAAGCCAGCAGTTTGTACCAATGTAGCAATCCATCTACTTTGGCCACCTTGCTCATAGTATACTCTGCCCAAGAGAGTTCCAACTGCTTGGCCAGCTAGAGCAAAGAATGTGAAGATAAATATTTGGAGCCACAATATGAAGTTACTTGATTGAAATCTGCTGGTTTTTGCATTTTCAGATATCTCCGTTCCTTCTGCTTCTTCAACTGTTAAAGGAAACAGGGCAGTACAAAAACAGAAAGATATCAATCAAACAAATTGGCTTCCCATTCTTGTGAATAAATATTTTCATTATAGTCTTGAATCTTGATATTGAATTAATTCAAGTGCGCAAAAGGACAACTTAATGGCCACAATCTCAATAAAAATATAAGGGGTTAGAATTCTAGTGTATTACTCTACTTAATTGGAAGTCTTCTCTGTACCTCTATTATTAACCATTTGACATTTGAAGATTAAAACAGTGTCATAATATTAAGAGAAAGAGTATTAAAATGAAGTGATTCAGAATCATAGTGCATCCAGCATCTACCCGTATTTCGAGTGGTGCTCCCTAAACATTAACCTCTTACAAGATCCCCACATAATGTTATTGTAGGTCATTAAATCCAAACTTGATTCAAACATATAATGGAATTTACTGGACATGTTTTATAAGATATTTATCTTTATCTGAATGTCTTAATCATGGCCAACCTTTTTTTTGTTTTTTTCACTTTTTTTTCTAGTAAAGTTGTTGCCATGTGATCAGGAGATCACATGTTAAGTCTCTTGCAGAAATGCAGGGTAAGGCTGCATACAATAGACCTTTGTGGTCCGGCCCTTCCTCGAACCTCACGCATAGCGGGAGCTTAGTACACCGAGCTGTCCCCTGCCCTTTTTATCTGGTGGGAGGGATTCTCTAACGTGGAGGCAAAGGAAGAAGGGTGTTTAGTGAATATCAATAGTTTCACCCCCACGACAGCAAGGTTAAAACTTTACTATATTAACTAGTGGTGTTCTTGTCTATAAAGGAATCAACCCAATAAGGCAGTGATAGACAGACCAAAGATTCAACTAAAAGAACATACTTCCTTCGACTCAAAACAACTTGTTTTTTCAACTTCGACCCAAATCAGTTGTCCCTTTTCAGTCCTTAACAGTAACTAACTCATATTTGACTTATGCTTAACATTTTAATTTAACTTCTGTGACTGATAGTGCACATTTTGTTTATATATCAAGTTAAGATCAGCTATAACAACATCCCTGTTCATAGTAATTCTAATTTAATAGTACCTTTCAAAATGTATTAATCAGTTAAAATACATTGATTGTGTAAAAAATATTTATACTATCGATGGATATAAGTTAACTTCTGAGTACTAAATTCTAGTTTTTAAAAAAATAATAACCTTGTATTCGATATATAGTGTTGAAAAAAACTTATAGATTAAACTTATAGACGATCGATAAAAGATGAAACGATCTATTCAAAAGTTCTCATGCAAGACTTCAGAAATTGGATCAAAGTTAGAGATGGAGAATTAATTGAAAATATACAACAACAAAAAATTACAGCACTTGATTTGGATTCCTTTAGCCGTATCAGAAAAGATTAACAGCCAGAACACAGCATTTTTGCCATATTTGGAGAAAGAGAAATACCCAGGAGGGTGTGATGGAACAGCAAATTTTGGCTATGCGAATTAGTCGGGAAAAAACAGAAAAAAACATCTTTCATAATTCCCACTGATCAAGTTGGGGACTGACTTTTTCAACTCCAAGTTAATGAACGTAGAGTATTCACTCTTATCTTTTTCTTTCTTTTGTTGATCTTTATTTACTCTTAATTAATATCAGGAGATGGCAATACAAACATGGAGAAAAAATTTATATATACAAAGAATTACAACCTAGACTTTTCAGATGACAGGATTTTTCTGTTAATTAAAGGTTGAAATTGGGGAGTGGGTAGAAAACGAAAAAGGGTAAATAGACATGAAAAGTAGCTACTCCCCAAAATCTTGAAATTCCCATTTTTCTTATATACAGCTGTAGACGCCTAATTTAACACAGACAGTACAGAGGACTGATACGAAGAAGAAGAAGAAGAAGAAGAAGAAGAAGAAGAAGAAGAAGAAGAAGAAGAAGAAGAAGAAGAAGAAGAAGAAGAAGAAGAAGAAGAGAAGAAGAAGAAGAAGAAGAGAGTAACTGACAAGTGAGGTGCAGCAGCTTTTCATGAGCTCCTTCCATTGAAAGTTGAAACGCCTGAAAAGTTGGAGAAACCGGTATCTTCTTTGAGTGAAGTAATAGACAGCCAAATATAAGTGTAACTTATAGAAGCATAAAGACAAAACTTTTATTATAAGTACACTAACATTTCCTTTTCTACATTTTGCTTCCCTAAAATATATGATATTGCTTTTATTTGCGCTCTCTTCTTCTCTTTATTTTACAATGATTTGCTTCTTGCTTTACGCATATTGTTTTTTTTTTCCTCCTTTTTTTAATGATTTGAATCTCACTTTATGCATATTGTTTTATTAATGATATCGGAAATAATCTATCTACTTTCGCAAGGTAGAAATAAGGTCTGTGTACACATTAACATCTCCAAATTCTACTTGTTAAATTATACTAAATTTGTCATTATTATTTTTCATGTGTTACGTTATTTATTCTTTTTCCCATTTGCTCTATAAAATATGCCTCCTTTATTTCAAAAAGTGAATTTCAATATTTCTAATCTTACTCCTAACCCGCCCGAAAACAAGATATGCATCCATTGAAGATACAACTTGAAGAGAAAGAGAAATAATTTGCAGAATAAGGTC